CAAAATCCACTTACCCTGGGCTATCGGACTCTAAAATTTCTTTGCACGCTGCGACAAGGTGTGGATCTATCATTATCAATAATGTTAACAAAAAAATTTTCAGTAGTTCAAAAATATGCAAAAAAAATTATTAAGTATTTTCAAAATTTTTTAAAAGTGAGTTTTTATTCCTGAAGTTTTATTTGCTCTTGCAATCACGAGCCCGAATTGGCGAAAAAAGCGAAAAAAAAAAAAACGATTGTTATGCAGGCTATTACTCCTGGGCCAAGATTATAGGTGGAATTTATGAAATAAAGAAAACAAAACTAGACTAGCTCGCAAGCAAGAAGGGAAGGCCCTCTCTCTTTTAAAACAAAACCGCCTTTTGATCGGAACGAAGAGAATATATCTGTATTTAGCTAATAGTTGTCTCTGTTGAATCAATGCGTTGACTTTTGAGCCTTCTCAAAATGATGATAAAAATTAAAAAACTCTGGTTACAATTTTATCGTTAAGCTGCATTTATTTAAAACCGCATACTCTTGTAAAAGAGAAATCAGGCTTCACAGTTTTTTTTTTTCGTGTGTGTGCGTGTAAAACAAACCCTTGCTGGGTTTCGTTTAAAGGAGCGAGATTTCACGACTTAACAAATTTTTCTTTTCCCACAAAATATAAAATCTAGCTGGTTTTTCCGCTTAGGCATAATGTTTCACGCGCCCAAGACATTCAAAGAATATATTTGAATTAATTAACTTCCCAATTCCCAATTGCCTTGAAGTGTATGTGGTAAACAACCCTTGTTCTCGCTACATAGACACGTGCAGTAAACCAAATCCAATCAAAAATTATTATTCAAATCAGAACGTTGCTCCGCGCTACATTCAAAAATTGCTAACTTCGGTTGCGGACGCTGATAGTGAAGGTTTCTCAAGAAAGAAAAGGAAGACGCTCTCAAGGCATAATAAACTCGCTATCCGTCTTTCCCAGCTTCACGACAAGGAAGCTAACTATCATGGAAGCAGTCTTGGATGTTAAACCAGCGCCTGAGGTAAATTACATGTTTAAGTTACCGCCAATTGGGTTGAAATTTGTATTCCGGCTAGTCAAAATTGTATATTACTTACGGCTTCGTTGTCGAATGTTCTTGTCATGAAGTTAACTTATTTGTTCTCAGAGGAGAAATAGCGAGTAGAAATTTAGGGAAATGCTCGCCAAGCAAAATTACTGCATGATTTTTGAAATCCCTTTCGTAGCTCGCACGAGGACGTGCAAGTGGCTGTTACAAAAATATAAGCGAAGCTCAATGGAGATATCAATGTCCTGACAAAGAATTAACTAAAGATAACCCAGTAATTCATATCATGGTCTTCTTCCAAATTAGCATTGGTGACCAAGAAAGAAATTTACAAAAACGACAAATTTTATTCATTTTTTCCTCGGTCTACAACAGCGGGATTTTGATGGAACTAATGTCACAAAACGAGGCCACCGCCCCTTCAAATAAAGATGGACCTAAAGAAAGCTATCACAGAGAGCTTCCAAGTTTGCAAAAGGTGTGTTCGTGAATTTCTATTTATTTAAACAACAATTTTATATTTAACGGAATAAAGAAATTTAAGTACCATTATACTTAAACTGAAGTGTTGAAACTAGGAAACGTAAGAGGCTGTGGTTGTCAAAATGTTAATAAGGCAATTTCGAACCACTTTTTGTGAACTGCTTCTCGGTTTTCGCTTGCACTAAACAGGTTGGAATATTTGAAATTTATTAAGATCATACTGACTTTCGTACGTTAGATGAGATTGCTCTTACATTCCAACGAAACTTTAGTATAAACAGTTGAGATGATAATAAGACTTGTGACAATTTAATTTTTGGATTGATAGTGAATCCTGTGACTTAATTGCAATATAGTTGTAAATTATTGATTAGTTTTAGCATTTTTTATATGTTTCTGTTATTTTTGACCAGCTTTTGGCTAAATTGCTCTGAAGAAAACAGGCAACCATTTGCCATCCAACCTTGATTCAGACCTCATATGATATAACCAGACCACGCGTAAACTCTCGCGCGCGTAAATGGATTGCGACAGAGCCTGAATGATTACTACTGTGTTAAACATTGAANAACGACAAATTTTATTCATTTTTTCCTCGGTCTACAACAGCGGGATTTTGATGGAACTAATGTCACAAAACGAGGCCACCGCCCCTTCAAATAAAGATGGACCTAAAGAAAGCTATCACAGAGAGCTTCCAAGTTTGCAAAAGGTGTGTTCGTGAATTTCTATTTATTTAAACAACAATTTTATATTTAACGGAATAAAGAAATTTAAGTACCATTATACTTAAACTGAAGTGTTGAAACTAGGAAACGTAAGAGGCTGTGGTTGTCAAAATGTTAATAAGGCAATTTCGAACCACTTTTTGTGAACTGCTTCTCGGTTTTCGCTTGCACTAAACAGGTTGGAATATTTGAAATTTATTAAGATCATACTGACTTTCGTACGTTAGATGAGATTGCTCTTACATTCCAACGAAACTTTAGTATAAACAGTTGAGATGATAATAAGACTTGTGACAATTTAATTTTTGGATTGATAGTGAATCCTGTGACTTAATTGCAATATAGTTGTAAATTATTGATTAGTTTTAGCATTTTTTATATGTTTCTGTTATTTTTGACCAGCTTTTGGCTAAATTGCTCTGAAGCAAACAGGCAACCATTTGCCATCCAACCTTGATTCAGACCTCATATGATATAACCAGACCACGCGTAAACTCTCGCGCGCGTAAATGGATTGCGACAGAGCCTGAATGATTACTACTGTGTTAAACATTGAAATTAACGATTCTTATTAGGAATGGAAAAGATTCGCAAAGATCGTCATCAGAGCCACACCTCGTGTGACATAACTACATTACGCACGACGTCTCGCGTGAACTCTCACGAGAATAGATTGCGACAGGGCCAGACTAATTACCATTATGTTAGGCATTAGAATTTACTATACTTATTACAAATGGAAAAGAGTCGCAATGATCGTAGCCTGTACACAGACGTTGTTTTATTTTTCTTTTCGAAAACATTGGCGAGCGCGAGTTCTTCTTCCCCCACCCCCTTATGCTGGGGGTCAATAAATCCCCCCGCAGTTGTATTTTTTATCACGCGCGCTCAACGGACCTTTGAAGAGAAAATAGAGGGCCTGCGAACAGGCTACAATGATCTTCACCAGAGTCCTTAATCTTAGTAATGTTGCTTTTCTTGCAAACCTTTTTCGGTTTAAAGACGGCTTTTCAAAATTGCAAATGATTTCAAAAACTAAAGCATTTTCGTATATTTTTCTCCGTTTCTCTTCACGCAGCTCTCTGACGCTTAATTGAGCCATTTCACTTTTTTTTACTCAGCTCGTCATCTTTTCAATTTTCAGCTCAGCCCGCAGACTCGACGATCTTCCTCAGGCAGACCTGTCTATCAGACCAGTCTATCAGATCCGCCCCAGATCAGACCGCCACACCAGACCACCAGATCAGATTACCCCACCAGACCACAGACCACCATCCTTGACTACTCAAGCTTCCAGTCATCACAGCATACCCAACCTATTGAAATGGTACAGGTCAGGTGCATTCCTTATGGGTTGGGTGAAGGGGGGTATATAGAGCTCTGAATGAACCTTGCAAAGCATACTTTCCACACACTTTCGGCCTGAATTTTCCGGACTTTTTTGTCGGCTTAACTTAATTGTAGTTAGATTAGCTAGCGGGGTTTCCCGGGCTGGTAAGGGCCTCCCCTGCCCTTTTTCTTAAGTTGGGTTCCTTTGCAGGTGTTCGGTCAGCGACGAGAGTTCGGCTTTTAGAAATAGGCTAGGCTTTTTGGATTCCGTTCGGCTTCATCTTCGGCTACATATTTTGCGCATTGCCAGATGGATTTCGCCACCGCCGTTGTCGTCGTCGTCGTCTTCACTACAACCTCCCGCTTATTTGCGCGAAATTGAATTGATCTATCACACTTCACTTGATAGTCTTGGCGCTCGTCAAGTGAAGCTTTCATCCGCAAGGTTCAACCAGACAGTGATTATTCTAAGAAATAACTTAGTAAACTAGAGACTTCAGATCATTCAGCTACAGTGAGAGGACCTCATTTGGTCACTGCTTACAAGCTTAGTGGTCTCTCTGGTTACAGGTAAATAGTTAGTATAGCCTCGCAAATTCGGGTCTGCTGCTACCAAATTGACTTTTGATGTTAAACAGTATAGGTGTGAAGTGAAATTTTTCGATGGTGCGCATTTGCAGACTTCGAACTTGTGAGGGTAGATAAGTTGACAGGTTCAGTCGCACAAAAAAAGCAATCTGCAACCAGGCGTTTCTTCCCGCGAAGAGCCAACACCTTGTTGCAGTTTGCCAGGGAAACTTGGGACAATCCACACACCATAGGCTAGATCGTTTACAAATCGTAAGCGTACGAAGACTTCGAGACCAATCTACGACGCAGTTTCATCGTTGGAGGAGCACGAATTAAGCCGTATTAGCCTGCGAAGTAATCACGAGAATGCTATAATGCCGAATATTTCGGGGACGCACATGTGGAGGCCCACCATACCTCGATATGCGTGACCCTGAATGGCATTCATGTGAAAATTTCGCTGATTATAAATAGTCTTTAAGTAAGTAGCAGGAGAGGATACTCTGGTCGTGGCATAGTTGACACTTAGACGATTTGATTTGTCTTCCTGTTAATTTTGCCTCGCTGGGGAGTTTTCTTCTTAGGAAGCCCTGCATTGCACTACGCAGGCACAGATCGTCTACAAATGGTAGGCGTACGTAGTCTTCAAGTCGACGGTTCGTGGTTATTGGTTTCTTCGTTTTTTTTTTCTCCTGGAGTGGTCAGCGGTGTTCTATGCCCGACAGTTCTTGAAGTACGTCATGACTGGGATTGAACCCTATGCAGCGCACTGTTCAAGTAATATTTGCTTTGTATATGATGAAAATGTGAATAAAATTGATTTTATTGCGTTGTATTGTATTGTTGGTCCAGTACTAGAGCAAGGAAAGATGCCGGCCGAAGAAAGAAGAGCAAAGAACTTCAACAGCCATAGAAAGATAGTCTTGTAGTCCAATTACTTAAGTAGGCGAGTTAGCTGCCTTTGCAGCCATGAACAGATGGTCCATGTTGGACCAAACCGGACAATGATGATAACGATAATGATGATGATGACGACGATGGTGATGGTGATGACGATGACCATGATGATCGTTTACACTAAGACTTCATTTTGCTTCTATGCAAACAGAAGCCGATGACATCGTAGTGTAAACGACTTCATGATTAGGAAGGCAAGGTAAAGCCAGTGGAGATAGCACATAGCAATAACTTTAAAGAGCCGTCTTAACTAACGTTGATATTTTCATAATTAAGCCCCCATATTTCCCCCGTCTCCTTCGAGTGGGAACAAACTTAAAAATTTTTGAAGCGAATCAAACCAATTTTTCTTGAAATTAAGCAATTAGAGATTGCAATTCCAAAAACTGTTCCAGACAGAAAATGCATTTCAACTTATCTCGGATGCCATGTTCGACAGTTGTTATTGTTGTCATATAGTGCAACGTTAGTTGAGATACTTCCTAAAATTTATATAAATTTTAATTGGCCGGCCGGACTTCATCTTTGGAGCAACTACAAGTCATCGACAACAACATCAACGACGACAACAACAACGACTACAACGACGTCATGGACTACACATAACTACGCCTTGGTCTATTGGATTATGGATCCCAGTATCATTGGTCCTTTGGGGGAGAAACGTGACGACAGAGTACAGCAGCCCATATAAGGTAGGGCTGATTGATGTTGGTACAACGTTTGCCTTGCGTAAACCTAACTCGGTAGGTGTGGAATAGGGTGCGGCAATTACTATTTCCATGGCATCGTTGTTTTGTAAGAAGCGAAGATTCGTAGCTGAAATGCAAACATTGCACCACATCAATCAGCCCAAGCAATAATTCAGTGTGGTACAAGGTATGTAGAATTTTTTTCTTTGCTAGGCGATTAGATTTTCGGTTCGGTCCATTCGGCTTTTTTCCGATCTTCTATTCGATTCGGCGATTTGATTCCGGATTCGGCTTCGAAAAAATGTGAAGGCTTGGAATCGATGTCATTTCGATAGCAAGCCGCAAAAATATCCCTGCTTATCGTCTGGGAGCCCCTGGTGTGTTTCATTCGAGGTGTCAAGGTTTGTGGACACATGTCACACTCCTCGGTCCCACCTAGACGCAAAATTCTCTTAGGAGCGCACTCCATATATTACTTAATTTCTGTAAAAGGCGAACTCAATTCAATAAAAAACACTTATACCTAATGCGTTGTCTGTGTGATTTTTTCTTTTATTATAAAGCTTAATTTATAGAGTAACTATCTATAAGTACTAATGATGATTTGATTTGCAGGGATATTATAAAATACTTTTTGTAATAACGACAATAAAAATAAAACAAAAATAAACATCGAGTTGTGAGTGTGATGTCTTTAAACGCAACCACGCGCATTGACCGACATTTAGTGTCGCATCAGTGTGTTTTACGGTAAAAACACTAACTAATATTTCGTTTCAGGTACTCGGAGTACGTCGGAAATCACATAATTTTTTTCGTTTTTTGGACTCTACTGCCACATTTTTCTACACATCTTTTTGGGCGCTCCCTCTCAAGATCGCACATGGCCTTTTTCACGAACCTTTTCCCTCTTTTTGGATGCGTTCCTGAAGAAACGCATGGCGGCACTAGCAACTTGGAAGTCGGAAGTGAACTCACGCTCGTGCGTCGAAAATCACATATTTTTTTCGTTTTTTCGGACTCTACGGCCACATTTTTTCTAGAACGAATGGAAACACATCTTTTTGGGCGCGCCCTCTCAAGATCACACATGGATTTTTTCAACCTTTGTTCTCTTCTTGGAAGCGTTCCTGAAGAAACGCATGGCGGCACTAGCAACTTGGAAGTCTCGGAAGTGAAGTGCTGAATGGATTAAAGGCTATTGTAAGAGTATTGCTGAGTAATTAAAAAATGGTGAAAAATAAAGTTTAACAAACGAAAAGTATACCATCAGTTTGTTTTTTTCTTTAAACCAGCTCTAAATAGTCTAAATAAGTTAGATTTTGTTGTAACGGAGTTGCTTTTTCAGGAATTTATAATAAAGATTGATCAACGCAATGCCGCGTCAATAGTGTATTTCTTCTATTGGACCAATACTAAGTAATTTTAAAAGCTTTATTTCAGGAACTGCGGACGTCATCTTTTTAAACCTTTTTTTCGCTCGAACATCGCCGCCTCGAAGACGTCTTTTTTGGGCGCGCCCTCTCAAGACCGTTTTGGTTGCACTTCTGGCTGCGTTCCTGAAGAAACGCATGGCGACACTGATTACGACTGAAAACCGACTCCAAGTTCCAAAGGTAATGCAGATATATATATTTTTTCAGTTGTTTTAACTGTTAGGTTATCTTTTTGTGTTTCAGAACTGGTTCGTGAAATAAGCGTTTCCCAGCGCCTAAGAGGTAAGAACGAATGGAAAGGACCTTGAGTACACAAAATCTGATTGTACGTGATACGTGCGCTTATCCTCAGATGATACTAAAACTTTATTCAGGATTTAGTGGGATTCAAACCCACGATCTTTGTCTAGTTACTGGTGCTCTTAGTCTACAGAAGAGTGCAATGTTCAAGATGCAGGATCCTGAAAGATGTACTGAATCTGTTTTATAATAGCTGACAGAAATTGATTGGGCGCAATCAGTCAATTCCAAGTTTTTTTTTTTAAGGAAATGGAGCTTGCAAGTGGTTTTCAACAACACGACAAACCCAGTGTTTTGACATTGTTAATCATGTTTCCAGAAGTGTTTCATTTAGGTTAGAGAAGTCCAGCAGTGTTATGGCAGTCCTGAACTCCCATCAGCAGCGATCTGTAACCTGTAAGTACTGGAATATAGGAAAGACTTGGTCTTCAAAAGGATAAACATGTAAACCCAAACACTGCGAACTTTTCTTTAAGGAAAGTGTTAAGGTAAATCGTCTGTTCCAGTGGGATTACAACCCCGGCCGTGAACATTGCTTCATTAGTAAACAAATCCTTGTGAAATTTTCCAATGAGATTGAAACTTCAGGGCGTCTGAAAGAAGCTGTGTAGTTTGAAGTTGATTTTCAACTATCATTGTGCAACGTTTGCTGTGATGATCTGTTATAAAGGAACTTTTCATTTAGATCTATGCAATTCCAGGAAGTTGTCTCCATACCAACAAGCAGACGGTCTTAACGTAACATTAACCGGCGTAATGACATAGCGGTATGAACACGTGACACTACCAACGAGATCTAAGGTATGTACCAGAAAGGACAAAAATGTTCACGTAAAATATCCTAACTCAACCAACAGGCCTTTGATCATTATTTCAAGCCATGACTTTAATTCCAAAGCATGATCATGATCATCCTATTGAGCTCGACAAAGATGAGTGTCCTGTTTTAATTTAATACAAGTCCAAGAAGTCATATTCCAAACAGCGTTTAGGCCACTGTCTAAACCAAAACTACTTGGAGGAACAAACAACCAAGGATTAAAAGAAATTAGTGTCACATTCAACAGTAATAACCAAGGATAAAAAGTTGCTTGTTTTCTAAATTCATGTTCTCGAGAAACCGTATATTCAGGTCAGAGGATTCCTGATGACATCGAGCATATGGTGCAACCCGAAAGTCTCTTAAGTTGCTACAAAGTGATCTGGACGAAAACCCGCTTGGCAGACCCATAGGTAAGTACAGAGAAAAATAAAACTGTACGAAAGGAAAAGGAAAGGAAACTGGTAACAAGAAGCTCATGGCCTTTGTTTAAGTTTTGGACTTGCAGGGCCCTTACTAAAAGCTGCAAAAAAGAGGCTCTTTTTTTAATCTAAATCCGTATGTTAAGCTGTTCATGACGATAAGCAAACTTCATTAAAAAACGGAAATTGAATTAAGTGGAAACATGTCGTGACTTTTAGTGTTGTCTAAATGCAGTTTCCTTATAGTTGAAGATGCCTAATTTTGCACATTAGAACACATCCTCTCCTTCATGGGTCTTCTAATCCACGAAAGTCGCTTGTTTACGAGGTATTAGTGGGATTCAAACATAGGCCTACTAAGAGGAGCGAAATATGTAATAGATTCTCAATTGCCGAACGCTAAATTTCTTGTTTCTTGAGATATATATTATTCAGGTACTTAAGACTTCAGATGTGACACCTCGTCGCGGTTAGCTGCTGTCATGATATCCTTGCCTCCTTTTCTATGTTGGATCTTGCTCCACTAGACAGAGGTAAGTACAATACTTGTCTGAAAATAAATTGGGTTCAGATGGAAGCTGTGGGCAGAAAAAAATTCTAATAAAAGTTTTTTATTGAATTAAGTGGACTAAGCATGTGTTAAAGCTGCAAAAATCGGGGCGAGAAACTAGGGTAGCTCCATGTTAATTCTGTCAAAAGCTTTAGCCTTTCCTTCCAGCCTTGCATTCAGGTTTGTTTCTTTTCACTGTATTTGCTTGCATCCTTTTCTCCTTTTACTAGAGAGATGTAGGAGGAAACCGTCATGATTATGAGTAAAAGGCTGCCCAAATACCTAATGCATTGATTATGATGATTAATTTTCTTGCTGATGACGATGGTGATGATGACGACGAAGATTAAGAAGTTCTGTCAGTGACGTGGCAAACGGCGACGGTGGTGGTGATGATGTATCTACACATACGACGTTCTTCAGCAGGTGAAACGTGCATTGAGACTTAAACTAGGAAGGTGTGTATCGCAGAGCTTCGCCAGGCTCTGGGAAACCTCGTCCCAAGGACGCCTTTTTGGGGTTTAGTGGGAGAGGACCCTGAGAGCGAGGTCGGGCTCGGGGTAGGATGGCCCGTGGTGCCCCCCCCGCCCCGCCAATTTTGCGTTTAAGGATTGTTTTCAATTTCTCTTGGGACGGCTGTAATACCCAGGAGAAATGAAAAACAAAGGTTATGGAAAATTTTGGAGGGCAAAAAGGTGCATTATGGGAGGTGTACAAGTGGCATATAAAGTAAATTGTCCAGCTCAAGACCTATAATAACCGCAACAACAAAGGCAAAAGGGACTTGATTTTTCCCGATAGTTCAGATGATCTTGGCGTTCTTCTTGGAATATTTACAAAAGGCCAGTGGGGATAAAATTAAAAATAATAATATGCAATTGAAGAACATGATGGACTCATTTGAAGCACAAAAGGAAAGAAAAATGGCAAAAAGTAAATAAATGAAGAAAATGGAACAAAAATGAACTCAAAATAAGAGATAAATAAACGAAAGAAAAATAAACAGAAAAATAGTAAAATAAGAATAACACTTGATAAAATATATAATAATAAATTGAAAATAAAATAAATAATATGAGAATAAGAAAGACAATAATAATGATAACGATAATGGTAATAATAAGAGAAAAGGAAATAACCGCAACAAAAAAGACTTGATTGATTATTGAAAACGAAACTGCGGAACTTTAAAGCAGTCTCGTTTCAAAAATCCAGCAAGAAATTTATCTTTTTAATTTCTAAAGTCTTTTTAGTTGCCACTACTAGTGTTTTTCCTTTTCTATTATTATCATTATTGTCATTATTATTATTACTATTATTATTATTATTATTATTATTATTATTATTATTATTACAATTAAGTTCCATTTTGTTCCATTCTTTAGATTATTTACTTTTTTCGTCGTTATTCTTTTGTGCGCGAGTCTTTTTTTTTTAACTTTTACCCCTATTGATCTATATAACTTAAAATTTTAAACTATTGTATCAAAATTTTCAACAGAGCGGATTTCATAGTATATAAGGACGGCCTGACTATCCAAATTTTCTGGAACCGCCAAGTCGCTTTTGTCTTTGCTTTTTTGTTGTTGTTGTTGTTGTTGTTTTTTTCTCATAATTTCTAATTACATGCATTGATCCAATAACGGAACAAGTGAGGGAAAACTAAGCTTTTATAATAAGTTCACAGAAACGTGTGGTCTTGACTTCTCGAGAGATATAGGAACAGTGAACGTCGACAAGCTGGACAGCTTGATCAGGCACCATGATGTGAAGAGGTCTAGTCGTAAACTATTGACGGTTGTTGCCTACATGATGATGATGATGATGATGATGATGATGATCGATGATGATGATGATGATGATGATGATGAAGATGATGGTGATGCCCACCATGATATTGACGATGATGATGATGATGATGATGATGCTGATGATGATGATGAAGATGATGGTGATGCCCACCATGATATTGACGATAATGATGATGACGATGCTGACGATGATGATGATGTTGCTGATGATGATGACGACAATGATGTTGACGATGATGATGATGCTGACGATAATGCTGATGACAATGCTAACGATGATACTGACGATAATGATGACGATGATATCGACGACCACGATAATGATGCTGACGATGATGAGAATGACGATGATAATCATGATGACGATGACGATGATGATGGCCATGTTGACGATGATGATGAAAATATCAATGAAGCTGTAAGTGACGCCGACGACGATGATGAAGATACCCCAAAAGTCGGTTAATCGCCATGGCTACGTTAAGTGGTGAGTATCAGAACAGTAATCTTTCTTTCTTCTTCGCTAACATAGCCTCCCGCGACTGTTCTGTGACCGAGAGTGACAAGAGAAGCGGCTGGGAACGAGTCAGTTTCGAGGCTGAACGCAAAGACCTAAAACTGCAACGAGAGGGGTGACGGAAAGCTACGTTTTGATAAAGTGTCCAGTTAAACTAGAGGTCTTGAATCGCCTCAGTGGTCAACTTTCCCTGCTTTACCTATCAACGTTGTGAACTGCAAAGGAAGGACAGTAAACGCGGTTCTGGACTAGACACAACTCCACTAATGGATTTTGCTTATGCTGTAATCCAATTGCAAAAACAGAAGAATATAAATTAGCAGTAGGCAATGATGGAAATTATTTCTATGATGAAATTAAGGCTAATTGTTCTCAAATACACCATGAAAATTTAATTCTCTGTAGTAATAGCAAGATGCTTTAAAATTCGAACAATAAAGGTATGTTCTCCTTTCGTCCCAACAGCTTTCAGAAAAAGAGTGACATTGGGCGTGTTGATATATCATATCGGAGGATGAGTGTGGTTGTATACTACCCTACTACCTTACGTTCAGCACGAGAAACCAAGATCAGCTAAACTACTATAGATCGAGATAGACTTTATTGCCAACGAGCAGGATCTCGAAGACGCGAGGCTGCGAGGTAGCAGCATAATAAAGCCGTGCGCGAAACTTCCAAGGCGGAATGAATCTAGAAACGATGTAACATAAGGTAGTGTAAGGTAACTTCTATGACGTAATGCAGAAAAAAGAATGCATTGTTTTCTAGCGAACACGTGCTCGAAGTCATAAGCGAGTAGTGTAAGGTAACTTTTGTGAGAGCAGTGAGTTCCATGACGGTAAATGACGGACACATGAGGAACCTGTAGCTTGCATTCTGGTAAATTACGGTAATTCGTGACATTTCCAAAAAAATTGATCAGTGCGCGCGTATGGGTAAAATCTTTGCTCGTTGGCACTATAGTTAACCATGTTAGCACTTACCGATAGCTATAACTAGTAATATTCAATTAAGGCTCAAGTTTAAACGGAGTGCTTTTCGCCGCGCTAGCGGTTGTTTTAGCGAGCAAGGTTCATTTTTTGAAGAAAATAGATTCCACTTCTATAGGGATAAAATTTGACAAATGAATAATTTGACCTTGTAATTTACCAGACATTTCTAAACAGCAGTGAGTCTGAACATGGGCCTATGTACTGAACATTGAAAGGGTAGTCTTTTCTCAGCCGATGAACTGAATCTATATACTAAATGAACTCTTAGTTCAAGGCATGAAAGAAAAAAATTGTAGTTCTTACCTTACAGTTTGTGGTGGAAATGGTATGAGGTCACCATACAATTAAAGTTTTTTTAACTCTACTTCTAGTTTCTCATAGTGCTAGTTATTGTTTTTAGGATTTTACGAAATAAAGACAGTAAATATAGATAATGTATTTACGAACTATATGGTTTGTTATTCTAAGGAAGCTGTTGAGAGTGAAAACCATAAAAAGCCGTATTTTATTTGTTTTCATTATATGCTTCGTGCTAGATATATACATGTAGCACTGTGTGGGAGCCATGATGTAAAGGAAGAAACCTATTTTACAAATGGAAGACTTTTTTTGTGTGCAGTTGAAATGTTTTTATTATTATTTTTTTTAATTCGGCTGCGAAAATTAGAGCGTAACTTGGAACTTCTGAATTCTTTTTAATTAATGCCTAAACGCTGATTCTATAGCTTAACATGTAACATAAACTGCAATAACCTTCTAATGCATAGAGTCTTCAGAGGTTCCCAGGAAAATTCTTGGCCTGATCTGAAATTTGTCTGCAAAACTTTATAGCGACTATCTTCTGAGTGATAGGTAGGGAATCATGGCTTCCAACCCTTTTCATTCATCCAATAAACATAATTTGATATGTATGGAGCAAAAAGCGCTTTGATAATCATTACTCGAGCGACAGATATTCAAGTCGCGCTATTCTAGAGTCAGCCTCCTTGCCTAGACTCCGTGAACATTAGAGACCTTTAGATTCAAGGACGAGAACGACTACGAGTACGAGATTTTACTTGAAGTTTCTTCGCGTCTTACTAAAATATGGACTCCCCTGAAAGCTTCATTTTACCATTTTTCACTAGAAAAGTTAGCACTGTTACTTTTAGTGAAGGAGGCTACACCCTCTCCCGATCGCAAAATGATAAAACTTCTAACATTTGATAACTTGTGCTCCCTACTTCGACATTCTCGCTAAAACTCGTAGTAGATTGACAACGGCTACCACGTTTTCCCGCCAAAATGACGCTGGTTCACGCGCAAGCTTTACTTAGTATTGAGAAAATCTCGTACTCGTAGTCGTACTCGTCTTAGAATCTAAAGGTCTCTATTTTTTACTTATTTTCCTTTTTCAACTTCTTTTCCAGCAAAGAGATAAATGTAATTGACCTTATTTTTTTCTGTTATTAGAGCGGTTTTCATTTGAGTGTCGAAAAGTAATTGGTTTTGCACTTTCTACACGATGCGATTGGCTTAAAAGATTCGCGCCACCTTTTCATCCAATCAGAAGTAAAACCAAAGCCAATTGTGACGCGCTCGCATGCATTTTCCCGCGCTTTGCGTCAGCCACATGTAATTACTTCGAGTTTTGATTGGTTCAATGTATTGTCTGTGTCCTATGTGATTGGCCAGAGTAATTACTTTGGTTTTGGTTTTACGACACTCAAACGAAAACCACTCTATATGTATTTACAGTAGTAAGCCTTAAAACCCCAAAGGCTGCATGCACCATAGCACTGGTCGGGGGTACACGGTCCCCGTTTTTGCCACAATTGGTTTTTCGGGGTTTACGTGTCCGGCTGTGGTGTTATATTTTAGTTGTATTTCTCATCAATAAAGTCCACTGAAGCTTGATGAAACTCTTCAAGTGCGTGTTTGTATCTTTGATTGTTCATATACCGTACACTCATAAGTCCCCATACTTTCAACCCTTTTACTCCCATGATCTGACAAGTAAATCTCCTTTCCGGCTGCTATACATTTAACTGAACATTAGTTCAGAGAATTTGGGTTTATATCAAACGTGCATCCTCTGGCTGCTACATTTCCCTATTCTCATCACCTTTCTACTGGACAATGAATGATATTATAAGGAGAAGTTAGATGCCGATCACTTCTGGGAGTTAAAGGGTTTAGTCCCCTAGTTATAAGCCCACAACACTAAATCTACCTTTTAACAAAATAAACGTGCAGTTACAAGCCTCTCTCTAAAATCGTGGACAAAACTACTTGAGAACGTTTACTTTCTTTTGAAGACACAACAACGCTGCTTCCCGGGGAAGGGGGAAGGGAAGAATCGCTTCGGGTGCGGTGTTCAGGAAAATACTATCCATGTATGCAATTTTATCAAAAGTTTTTGTCTAAGTCTGTAGCTTGTCGGATAGAAATGAATTCGATTTTTACGACGTTTTGAAAAGTAAAAAAGCCAGTAAATTGAAGGAGCATTTTCGACAGCACTGCTCCTTGGATAATTTGATGATGTTCTACATGTTCTCAATTCTTTTAAGAGGATATTATCCAATCATCAATGCGCAAACTGAACTGAACTAAATCTGCTTTTGAAGTTTTGATATCTGAATTCAAATTTCTCTATTGATCCAACCCATACTGAGACAAACACATTAAGACACAAGCTATCAACATACTGACTTGTGTTGAAGGACCCCCCGCTCCGCGAAAGACCGAGTCTTCTTTGTACTGCTAGGAGGGGACTGGAGAGGAGAGGGCTCAAGAAAACGCACAGTTTTCGCGCGCTCACCGCAGTATCATGTAAAGCACATACTGGTTAAAAAGGAATCAATAATTAAATTTAAGTAGCTTTTGCAATACTGTAATATTTTGTTATAGTCATGCAAATAAAGCTTATTGTTGTTGCTGTCGATTTTTCTGAAGCTCCCTTCTTCGGATGAGACTGATGTTTTATTGTACATCTATTTCCAAAAAGGTGCTTCTGGAAAGAATAAACATACAATTGCATAAAATCTTCAGTTAAAAGATTTTTAATGTAGAAATTCCCTAAAGCTACGTGCAAACAGACTCAACATTGTTGGATGTTACATGTTGCGTCCGTTTGCACACCCTTTTGCATGTTGTTGGGTGTTGTTGGGAGTTGCTGCACAGGAAAGTGATAGCACAAATAGTTGCGTATGGTTGCTATGAAATTGCTATTCTGAAAGAAGGTCTCTTAACAAGTTTACACCCACACGTGGCTAATAAATTTTCCCCCCGTTTCGTTCAGTAAAAAGAAAAAAGGGGTGTCTGTGGCTCAGCCCTTATCTTTATTAAGTGTTTCAAGTTGGTTTTGTAGATACTGCTATACCGATAATCATTTAGGTGAAAATCACCCTCGTACAACTACACGTTGCGATTAGAGTCGTAAACTTTCTCCACCTCATTTACGTCCATTTGGACCTCGATAACCCAATCGATTTTGGCCCATAATCTTTAACTGTTTAGAACAAAACCTCTATTCTGATCGCGAGAGGTCTAAGGGTATTCAGATTTGAGATATGATATGATTCAACATTTTTTGTAACAAAGAAACTTTACTTTTTTTAACTGTTTCGTTTCGAAACAAGTAGGATGTGAGAGATATATTGTTTTATCTCCCCTTTTAGCTTGACATTAAAGTAGTTTTAAATGACACAC